CCAAGAACAGCTGGTGATCTTTAGACAAAGAACACGACACGCACAATTTACTGGACACAAACAACACGTCAAGGACAGATGTTTTAAACTACTACAGTCACCAGAATGCCAGTGTGGAGAAGCGGACCAAACTGTGAATCACATCCTTCAACACTGCAAGACACACAGAGCCCGGAGACAGGAAATACACACACACACACACTCGCTCACACACACACATACACACACACACACACACACAAACAGTTTTTCCCTCCCTTCCACTTACCCTGATTTAACATTCTGGTGGCACAAGTTTTGAAAGTATCTATTTACTAACTTTATCCGTCCTCTTGTACCTCTAGGGCGCCGAGGGGAGAAAGAGCTTCCTGTCTCTAGCAAGTTTGATGGCCTGGCTGGGTGGGATGTTGTATGTTCTCAGGGTATCCTTCACACCCTGGATCCAGGTTTTTCTTGCTTTGTACCCTGACACTTTCCTGCAGTAGGCTTTACTAGCAAGCTGGTTAGGTGCCATACGTGTATGACATGTATAATTTGCTATCTAAATGTACTGCAGATATCATAGGCGATATAATAGTTGCCCTCTGATTGTTTTCTTTGCACCCTCAGATGCAGATGAATTGGTGAATTTTTCACCTGCTTACTGGGACAAACCGGAAAAAGAAAAAAAAAATGTCAAGACCTAGATCGCCCCCGCCGCCATATGAAGACTCTCTGTCGTTTACCTCTTCGGCAACGCCTCCTAGCAGACCAACAGGACCTTTAAGCCACGACCCTGCCCCGCCCCCAGGGTTTTATGTGCAGACAGGAGCACACCCATTGCTGTCTTCTGGAGAAAATGCTCCTCCCCCACAAGGTTCAAGAAATCCTGCTACTCACCAGACCCCCGATGTGATAGGCGGGTATCAACACGATGGATCCTACTGGCGACCCACCCCACCCCTTCAAGGACAGGTCCCCGGCCCGTACGCCCCTCCCCCACCACCATTTCAGCTCCCACCCTCTAAAAACCGAGAGTATCCACCATACCCACCAGCTTCTACTGGTCCACCATTTTCTCCCCTTCCTCCTCCTCCTCCTCCCCCTCCTCCTCTCCCTCCTCCTCCCTCATCATCACCTCATCCACCTGTTGGACAGACAACCTATCAGGCTACATTCCATGAGGTAGAGTAACAACAGTTTTGTTTTGTTGTGTGCGTGTTTTTTTTGTGTGTTTTTTTTAAATCTTTCGTATCGTTTCTTCAGTATCTCTGAATGACTTTCTCTATAAATTATGATAAGAGCACTTTTCCCAAAAAGCGGAGACGTCTTCTTAGAAATGGGAGGCGGACTTCCGCTACAGCTTGTGAGATTACCTGATCCTTGGAATGGCAATAATCTATAATAGGCCGACGTGTTTTGCTTCAAAGTTTGAACTACAGAAGATCTATACATACTACTAATAATAATAA